CCACAAACCACGTGGTACGGGGGGAGGTGAGTCCTGCTCTGGCCGCCTGTGTGAGCATGATGAGGTGGCGGGATTTCGGAGAGTGGGGAGGGTGTTGCAGGTTCCCGAGAAAAACTTTTTGTTCGGTGCGCACGATCGCCGGCTGCCACCCGGCCGCGGGGCAGCGGGGCGCTCCGACCTCCGAGACGCGAGACCCGATGTGCGTGCTGACTGAGACAGACAAGCACGCGAGCTCCCCTCCTCTCGTGCCGTACGTCTCGGCGGGGTGGGGGAGAGAGGCAGAGAGAAGCGTGCCGCTTGTCGGGCCGACGTGTCTCTCCACGCGCGACCGCGACACCGACGCGTTCGCTAGTAGCCTAGTACCGGTACATCGCGTGGCCTCCCTTCGTGAGGACAATCTTCCCGGCGCGAGTCTTGAGCCAATAGCCCCACGACCCCGAGGCGACTAGCAGCTGCACCACCTCGCTGTGCGTCTTGCCGTTCGCCGCGAGGCGCTTGAGTTTTGCAGCGAGGAGGCCATTCATGTTGCCCGTCATCTCGAGCTTCCCGATTCCCTCGTCGACGGCACCGGCACGAAGGAGCAGGCGCACGCACTCGGGTTGGTCGTCCGCCGCGGCGGCAAACAGCGGCGTCCATCCGTCTGCCTCCCGGGCCTTGCCAACATCCGCACCCGCGCTGATCAGGAGCGAAAGGCACTCTGTCCTGCCCCGCATCGCCGCTATGAGTAGCGGCGAGGAGCCGGGAGGCGTCCCGTCGCCGCCGCCGCCGCCCGACGTGGCCTCGACGGACGCGCCTCCCTTCAGCAAGTACTCAACCACGGCGCGCTGGCCGTGGCGCACCGCCCAGGTGAGCGCGGTGTCGGCTTTGGGCGTGTCGAGGCGCTCGTCCAGCTTCGGCAAGGCGAGATTCTTGGCCACCGCCGCGACATCGGACGTGCAGATTGCGCGCAGCAAGGGGCCGTCCTTTGAGGAGCTGATCGCCGACTCCATCTCCTGGCGAGCCGCGAGCGCGTGGGCCATACTGCGGTCCCACGCCGCACTTTGCGGCGTATTGTGAGAGCCGCCGCATACAAAAAATTCCCGCTACCCGGGTAGCGCCCGAGCATCCGGCCCGCTGGGTGCGCTTCTTAGCTCCCCGTCCCTCGCTGTGTGTGACGTTGCCAACTGCACTCCAAGTGCTCCAAGTGCAGTGATGAACCACATGCTCGAGAGATTTGCTATGTTTTGTTTCTGCATCGAGAGAGAGAGAGAGAGATTTAGGAGAGAGAGAGAGATTTAGCAATACCAAACAACTCTAACACTCGCCTGGAGCCCTGTCTGAGCCCTGTTCACGCGCGCGCGAGACGTGCAGACAGGGTTGCCAGGTGAGAGCGAATGGCGCGGTTCACGCCTCGCACCAAGAGAGAGAGAGATGCGCTCTGCATGGTGGGACACAAAAGAGAGCGAGTACTTAGAGAGATTTTTAGCAATACCAAACAACTCTAACACTCACACGTCATTTGGGGCCTGGATGTGTTGTCGAGTACTTTGTGTTGTTGAGATTTTTGAAGACCAACAAGAAATCACGACTCGCTCTCTCTCTTGCATCGAGAGAGAGATTTTTAGCAATACCAAACATCGATGCCGAAGCCCTTTCCCTGCGAACGCGCACCCCCCCCTAGGGGTCAGGGCTCTCTAGAGCCCGTTGCCCGATCCCGATCATCCGGCCCGCTGGGTGCGCTTCTTAGCTCCCCGGCCCTGGATGTGAGGCTGATAACTGCACTCCAAGTGCTCCAAGTGCTCCGAAGGGGGAAAAAGGGGGGGGAGAGATTGTTTGTCCGAAGGAGTCGGCGCGTTCGGGTCGATGTTTGGGAAGCCTCGTATTATAGCTTGAACGTCTCCAACCCAAGTCCTGGATGTACACCCCGGCTTGTTCATCTCGGCCCGAGAATCTCGCCCTCGAAGTAGAAAGAAGTCGTCTGCGAAGAGAGTGCGGGATCCGCCTTGGAGAGTAGAAGCCGTTTCCCTTGGCCATGAAGGCCTTGGTCGCCTCGATCAACGGCCTCGCTGTCGTCGTCCGGCGTGGCGGCGCAACGCGAAGCTGAACAGCGTCCTCCCGCAAACCTACGAGCGCGAGAGCGTCGCCGAACACCAGGCGACCTGCATCATTATTCACATTAACGAATGAAATTTGCCAGTGCGCGCCAGTCCCGTGCCTAGTGTCGTGCAAGGGCGTACATCGTGCCAGTCCCGTCTCAGTGTCGTGGGAGTGAGAACTCGTAATTTTTCCCTGTGTTAGTGCCAGTGCGCACCAGTCCCGTGCCCAGTGTCGAGAGAGATTTTTAGCAATACCAAACAAATCTAACACTCGTTGTGTTGTTTTGTTGCAGTGTCGAGAGAGATTTTTAGCAATACCAAACAACTCTTTGTTTTGTTCAGTGTCGTGCGAGGAAAGAAAAAGAAAGAAAACAGACCATCTAAGGGAGGGATGGGAGGACGGCACTGTCGTGCGAGAAAGAAAGAAAGAAAACGGACAACCCAAGGGAGGGATGGGAGGACGGCACGCCGCCACCACACAGGGATTTTAACCCTTTTGCTTCATAAGGGTCATGGTGACCAAATCTCGATATATCTCCAGTCGTAGCGGTGGAACTTTTTTTGGCTCGGTCAATTATTTAGCCATATATGAGAGGATCACGGCACAGTGTCGTTTTGAGTCGACAGTAACTCTCCCACAGCCCACGTAACTCCGTCTTTTTCAGGCACCCGGAGCCCTCCGCGGCCGCTTCTACGCCGGCGAAGCACCATCAAGCTGCTGTACGGCCCCGGCATCGCCTCCCCTGGCTTAGCTCTCAGTCAAGATATTGTGCACATGGGTGGCCTCTACAATATACTCACTGACACTGAACCTCCCAGAGCTCGTCCCGGTCCGTCACGGCCATCCTCGTCCTCCGGCGGGCCCCCGGCCGCGGCGCGGTGCGGCGGCGTCACAAATCCGACCACAGAGCACCGGCGACCGGGACGCGGTCGGGCGATCTGAGGCCCAGGTAGGCGAATGCATTGCCCATCCAGGGCTATCACCTGGACCTATCAACAGGCGCCTGCGGCGCCGTGCTCAGGAGTTGGTTTTCACTCGCTCGAAATGTGTGCCTGAAAGTGTTAAGAGAGTTTGATTGATTGATGGGAAGGCGAAACACAGTCCGACCAACGACTGGGACACCAACGCGGTATGGGTGGACGCTAGACGGGCGATGACGGTCACACAGGAGCGACACACAGAACCACAAGACAAGACACTCAGCCAAACTGACTGCCACACATCCTGAGCGAACTTCCCTAGTCACCCGCGGCCGGACTCCATCCGGCACGAGTTTGCGAAAATTTCTTTTCCCCAAGATTCTGCTCTTCGACGAGGATCGGGCGGTGGTGATGCGATATGCTCCTGGCGGGGGGCGCGGTCGAGGGCGCGGGGGTGGGTCGCGCAGTGCCCGCTGGCGGGGCAAGCGGCGAGGGGGTCGCCGGGGGCGTTGGGATGATGGGGATGGTCTTTTCGGCGAGCACTACAGTGCTCGCGGATTCGACTGTCCCCCCGATCGTGCCCACCTCCATGAGGACGACGGCGCCTTCTAAAGGTCCGTCGCAGGCTGTGCCTCTTTTGGTACCTGTGTCGAACCTGTGTGCTGTGCGAGAGCACTTGGAGCACTTGGAGCACTTGGAGTGCAGTCATTAGCCTCACATCCAGGGCCCGGGCTCAGAGAGAGTTTTTTGTTGAATTCTTTCCCCGCGGCCCATGAGCGTGCTTGACGCCTCTTCGCTCGCCTTCGTCCCGCCGCCCGAGGCGGAGCGCGACCTCGAGCTGATGGAGGTGAGCGTCGCCCAGGTCCCGCCGCAGAGCCTCTCCGTCCTCGTCCGCGCGCTGACCGACGCGCTGCCGCAGCCGGCGCTGCAGCACCTGAAGCGGGTGCACCGGCCAGCGGCGGCAGGCGGGAGCGCGGCGGCCGCCGCCGGCCGCTCCGACGCCCGCCTCGTCCTGCTCTGGGCCGGCGGGCCGGAGCAGCGCGCCGCGCTAGCGGGAGGGCTGCCTGCCGCGGTGGCGGCGGCGTTGGACAGCCTGCCGCAGCCTCCGGCGAGCCACTTCGTGCCTCGGCACCCGCCGGCGACGCGCGCCCAGTTCGAGGCGTGGGGGCGGGTGTGGCCGCTCGTCTTCCACCCCTCCGCCGCCGTCCGCGCGCTCGCCACGTGGCTGCCGGACCCGCCTCCCGCGCCTGCAGAGGTCGCGTGGATGGAGTCGATGATGCGGCGAGAGGGAGCCGAGATGACGCCGAGATGCACATGCCTCGTCCATGCCTCGGCCACACCTCGGCCACACTGTCGTCACACCTCCGTGGCTCCACCCCGCCCTCCGCCACCCTACAGGCTTGCGATCGCAATGGCGGCGCGCTCCGCAAGCAGCGGTGGCCGCCCCGTCGGCGTCGCGATCGCGAAACCAATGGGCGCTCGCGCACTCAACTCTACCCTCTCGGCTCCTCTCGGCTCCCCTCGTTTCCTCTCGGCTCCTCTCGGCTGCTCTCGGCTCCTCTCGGCTCCTCTCGGCTCCCCTCGGTTCCTCTCGGCTCCTCTCGGCTCCCCTCGGCTCCTCTCGGCTCCTCTCGGCCCCTCATCTCCCTCATCTCCTCCCCTCATCTCCCCCTCAGGCGAGCCGCTCGCCGCGTGCCCAGACGGAGTCACCGGCCCCGCTGCATCGCGCGCCACAGCTAGTGGCGGGATATGCCCACGACATGTCCGAGACATGTCCCATAGGCGCACATGCAGGCCGAGGCGGCGACATGTCCAGGACACGTCGACGACATGTCCGAGACATGTCCCATAGGCGGAGCTGCGTCGCGCGCCGCCACAGGGAACGGCGCTGCTGCAGCCGCCAGTGCAGCCGGCTCTGGCTGCGGCGCTGCTGGCACTGGCGGTGCAGCGTGTTGGCGCGTCACCGGCCTTGGCGGTGGGCATAGCCCTTGCGGCGGCCCTTGTCTTGGCAGAGGAGGCGAGGCGGCGTGTTTGCGCGATGGCAGGCTGGGAGAGGAGGCGAGGCTTGGGGAGGCGGGAAGGGCGGAGGAGGAGGCGAAGCCCCACCCGCTGCGGCACGCGATCATGGTTGGCGTGGCGACCGTCGCGCGAGCGCAGGCGCCCCCGCCCCCGTAACGCCGCCTCCGCCACCGCCACCTCCGCCCTCGCCGCCTCTTCCCCCGCCACCGCCTCCTCCTCCACCGCTGCCACCGCCACCGCCCTCGCCGCCGCCGCAGCGCACGCTCCTGCCCGCACGCCGCCGCTACCGCCTCCGCCCCGCCCCCCTGCCCCCGCGCCCCCGCTGCCCCCCGCGCCCCCCCCTGCCCGCCCGCGCGCTCCCTTGCCGCCACACCGGGAAAGAGGCGGGGCTCTCTGCCGTTGATAGGTGGAGCGGCGGCGCTGCGCGGCGGGCGGCAAGCGTGGCGCCGGCGAGGCCGAGTCGGGCCCGGGGCGCTGTTTGGACGGTCCGGATCAAGTACTGGTGCAACGGACGCATGTCTCGGACATGTGTCGGACATGTGTCGGACATGTCCCTTAGTAGGTCCGGATCAGTACTTGTGCAACGGATGCGACGTCTTCGTCACAGTGGAGCCGTGCCCGATGTGCGCTCAGACTCGGCCCCATCTCCGCCCCATCTCCGCTCCATCTCCGCTCCATTTCCGTTCCCCTCGGCCCCCGTCATCATCTCGGCTCAGACTCGGCTCAAACTCGGCTCAGACTCGGCTCAGACTCGGCTCCCTCTCGGCTCCCTCCCGGCTCCCTCCCGGCTCCCTCTCGGTCGAAGGTTGCAGCTGTCCCCGACGCGCCCTCGTGCCGCGCCAGGTGCGCCATGGCGCTCGTGCACTCGCGTATCCGGCGGCTCGTGTACGCGCTGCCCGCCCCCGGCGGCGCGTGCGGCTCCGCGTACCGCGTCCACACCATCCCGTCCATCAACCACCACTACCAGGTCGTGCGCGGCTTGCTGCGCGACGAGGCGGCGGAGGCGCTCGGGCTGAGCGGCCCGGCGGCCTCCGACCTCAAGCCGGGATGAGGCGGGCGTGTGGCAGCAGAGGTCAGTGTGTAGGGAGGTGGGTTCGGAACTCACCGTCGGGATCAACATACAACAAGTGTTGAGAAAATACAGACCGAGGAGGTCGGGGGATCTCGAATTTTCGGGTCGAATCTTCACCAGCCCCATGTGTGTGGGGCTCGTTGTGCGAGTATATGGGACACGATGTCTCAAATATGAGGGGTTTTGACTCCTACCGGCTCCTGACGCTATCCCTGGCAGCTCTAATGACCAGGATCAGTAGTGCTATGATAGAGGCTGCCCATACTAGCGCAGGAGCTGCCACACTCGCCCGGACCGTCCCCCTCTGGGGCCGGTTCCGCAGCCCGGGAGAGCCGACAGCGGGGCCGTGCCGCGGGTGCCTACTGCCGAGTGCCACAAACACTGCGCCGTCCCGCCACCACCTACAGGCTGTCTTGTGTGATGGTTGGGATGTCCAAACGCCACCATCTTGGCTCTTGCGACCTCAAACCCGCGAGCTGTATGGGTGGTCCTGACGTCGACAGACGCCCGAGGACCACGGTGAAGCTGAGCCGGAACGCGTCGACAAGTCTCGTCTGAGCCCGTGGCGGTCGCCGGCTGAGTCGCCGTGCACGGCCCGGTACCTCAGGCGTCACCTCCGCAGCCTCAGGTCTCAAACTCCACCACCGCCGCCAGGACGCCGTCGGTGGCACGTTCGGCGGCGAGTTTGTGGCAGCTCCACAGCAAGCGCGGCGTCGAGCCTATTCGGTCTGGTCGGTTCGCGGCACTCACTGGGTGCCAGGGAGTGCCGCCGACACGCGAGCGGTGCTTCCCGGCAGCGCGCGCCAGCTGTGGGGCTGCCACAAACTCGAGCCACGCTTTTTTGGGACATTTTCGACGCTTTTGTCCCATATACTTGCCGGATAGCGCTTTAGCGCGGCCCGGGTTCTTTACCGATTAGTATCCGACGTTCCTCGATAACTTCGAAGTTATCACCAATAACGCGCGTCCGCGCGATTCCAGTCGACGCGAGGCCATGGCCTCGCAGCCGACGCAGAGCGTGCGGTAGTCGACCATTCTTTCTCCACCGGCTCGCAACCCTTGCGTGCCGATTGACGCGCTGCGCTCTCGCGCCGCGCTATGGTGGGCAGTCTCCTGGACGCCTACAACCTCATCTGCGGCAAAGTGGAGCCCGCAGCCACGCCAGTTGAAGAGGGTGGCACAGCAAGCGCGTCGCTGCTGGACTCATACGACCGACAGGCCGGGTCTCTTGACCGCGCTGGATCGGTGGAGGAGGCCTCAGCGCCTGCCTCCCGAGGACCTGCGCCACAGCGGCCAGGTGCCTCCTCTGGAGACCGGGACCTAGCGCCCGCCTCTCATGGACCTGCGCCACAGATGCCAGGTGCCACTGTGGCTCAGGTCTCCACCACAGCAGACTCTCTCTTGGAGGCTTTCGTGGCTCTGGACGCCCCACGGCCTGTGCCCGCTCCTGGGAAGCGGAAGAGCTTTGAGAGCGCCGCTGATGAGAGAAAATCGAAGGCGGATCACGAGGCCGCGAGGCTATTTGACATGCTCCCACACGGCGTCCTGCCCGTGGTTGGTGGGGCAGGATCCTCCCTCGTGGCAGCCCTGCAGACGTACAGGGCGGCTGGTATCCAGTTCCTCGCCCAGCGAGGGGGTAAGACCGAAGAGGCGTGGCCGCTCATGAAGGGGACATGGAGCGGGGAGGGCAGGTCGATGGAGAGCTCCTTGACGACCAGCTGCTGTTGCTCGGGGCACGCCGCAAGGAGGAGCAGCGCCAGCACAACCGCACAACGGAGCAGAAAAGGCACGGCGGCGCGATTGCCGGGCTCAGCGTTGGTCGCCTGGCCAGGCGCGGTGGGCTCGGAAGAGAGTTTGTGTGGGATGTCGGTGATCGCCGGCAGGTCAATCTGGAAGATCTTGCGCGTGATGATTGCCTTTCCGAGCCACACAGCCAGCCGAACGAGCGATGTCGACGGAGGCGACGGCGGCAAGTGCAGCACAACACTCGAGGATGGGTTTGCCTCACGCTCGAGCCCGCTCCAACGATGCTCTCCATCGCAGACAAGCTCGCAGCTCCGCTGCCCTCCGTTCTTGCCATTGCTGACGGCGATGGGGTACGTTACAGCTGGCGCGAGGGTTGGTGGCGGCGGGGGTGAAGCGAGAGAGTAGTAGTGTTCGACCATTTTTGCGTACGTCCCGCAGGAATGACGGTAAAGTTCGACAACCTCTTGTGAAAATCGCAGACACACACACACACACACACACACACACACACACACACACACACACACACACACACACACACACACACACACACACACACACACACACACACACACACACACACACACACACCGCACTTGAAGGTACCGGGGCCCACCCAACGGATCGATGAATCCGGGGCACCCTCCACTCCACTCGAAACCCCAGGCTTGCTTGGGGTTCGAGGTGGCCCCTAAGGGGCCGCCCATCAAAGGGACTGCGGCAGAAGACGCCCAATCTTGCTGCGCAAGAACCATACACACAGGCTAGAGAGAGCGAGAGAGAAGTACCACTACTACCGGCTCGACAGATGGTAAAAGTTTCTCAGAAAAGGTCGCAGTTCTCTTGCGCTAGCTTTGTTGTTGGCGACCCAGTCCGGGGCGACGGTCGTCGCTACGGTCCCCTGGGGAGAAGGGAACCGTGGCGTACCTGGTTGCACACGTTGGGGCCGCGCCGAACCCCGAACCCCGTCGAGCATCGTCCCCCTCTCCGGGGCGGCGTCGACTCCACTGTCTCAATATACGGGGTGTGGACCGTGAGTTGACCAGGCTGGGTTGTGCCCCGGGCCCTCCTGCTCGGCTCCAGCGAGTAGACAGTGTTACCATCAACAGAGGAGAAGGATCTGACCTCAGGGCTGATGTGACCAAGCGCTGTGAGACCATGGGTGTGAGGTAAAACCACGCTACCAGCCGAGCAGTGTCGCTCACACAAGCCGCAGCACAAGATAGTGACTGAGGGACAGCAGTGAGGGCGAGCCCATCGCTGTTACTGAACACCCCGGTGAGGGAGGGCGAGACGATCGAGGGGTCCCGTACCATGCGGAATCGACCCTATCCAGTGCTCAAGTGCTCAGCTGTGGCAGCCGCACAGTAGGCTGTGCCAACTGTGCAGAGCGTGTGAACAGCAGAGGAGCTGCACTCCAGGCTTCAGGCGCAAAGGGCAAAGAGCTGCATGCCACCGAAGGTGCGCTGTCGAGGTTCGCCGAGCTTGGCGAAATCCGGGGACGCCGCCACCGACGAGCGCGTTGGACTTTTCACTCCGGACAAAGACGGCTACGGTACTAGAGGATCCACAGCGTCCTAATCTAAAATCTGAGGATTCAGGATTGAGGCATCGATTCAGTGAGGCCAAAGTGAGTTTATGGATGTGTGAGAACGGTACGGGACACGAGGAGTCACGCGGACCGACTCGTCGGTGACTCTGCTGCACGCCGTTTCAGAATTTTTCTCAGCGTGAGCGAGACGTGGAAGAGTGCCACCGTCGGGTAGGACGGGTCGGCCCGGAGTATCAGAGTAGCCGTCGTGGTCGCGGCGAGCAGCGCCGGCCACTCCGGCGCCGCGTCGGCAACATGGGAGCATGTCCAGCGCCACTTCGCGGTCGCAGCGCTGTTTGTCGCCCGAAACGCCGCATGTACCTCTGGCGGGCCAAAGATCGACTCGCATGTCGATTTCGACTTGACGGCGGCATGGAGGCATCACGTCTCCATGCCGCCGTCAAGTTGGAGCCAGTCTGCGGCGATCACAGCGCTCGCAGGAGGTACATGCGAGCTATTCAGAGTCAAGCTTTTGCCCGAAATCCCACACTGGTGGATTTTGGGGCGCTGTGGACCCTCTAACGGTACGGAGTAAAGCCGTACGGTACACGCGCACACGAGCCGCGGTCGTGTACTTATAGCTGTCTTAGCGGCGAGGCGCGGGACCGTCTGTGGCGAAGTGGGTCGCGTCCCCGGATTTCCTCAACTCACGGTCCACACCTTCTATCCTCCCCCTCCCCCAACCAAACACGCCCGAAGCCAACGCTCGAGCATCGGTGTCGCACTCTCCCCCGGGCCCGTTTCCTCGACAAAAAGAGCGCCGCCCTGCTTCCTCGGTCTCCCCGCAAGAGTCCCGAGAACCACGCCCGAGCCCCGAGCCCTGTCCTCCTGGCCCCTCGTGCCGCTGTCCCTGGTGCCTCTCACTTTCTCACAATGTGGTGCAATGTCGGAGACCGCGGGCGACCGAAGGTGGACCACGGTCCCGCGCTCTCTTCCAAAGTTCGGCCGCAATCCACGCGGCTCTCTCTTTCGCGCCGTGGGCGCCGTCTCGGCCTCTCCACGCCATGCTCACGCCATGCTTTCACGCCATGACGGAGACCGCCTGGCTGCCGCCGCTCTCGCCGACGTAGCATCCGACGAGCATCGTCGCCGCCTCGAGGAGCTCGGGCCGGTGCGAGACGAAGATGCTCTGCGCGCCCTCCCGCTGCGCCATGAAGTCAGCGAGCGCCTTTGTGCGTCGCGTGTCGAGCGCGGCGTCAACCTCGTCGTAGAGGCAGGGGTGGGACGCGTCGGGAGGGTGCAGCGCCAGCTGCAGCGCCACCGCCACGAGTGCCTTTTGTCCTCCCGAGAGCTCCTCAAAGTGCGACCACTCGGACTGCGGCGGCCGCGCGCGGATGGAGACGCCCTCCTCGAACAGGACCGCCGGCGTGGTCGCATACTCCAGGCTCGCGTCGCCGTCGTCGCAGAGCGCGCGGAACGTCGCGCGTAGCCGCCCGTCCACCTCGCTCAGCTTGCCGAGCACCACCCGACCGCGCTCGGCCGTCAGCGACTCGAGGCGGCGAAGCGCGTCGCGCAAGGCCGCCTACAGCCTCGGCTGATCTCGGCTGATCTCGGCCGATCTCGGCCGATCTCGCGAGAGCCCGAGCGCGTCGCGAGGCGCCGCCTGCTCCGCCTCCGAGTCGGCACGCAGCCGCTTCACCTCGCCCGCCGCCTCGAGGTACCGGCGGAGCTCCTATGCGTCTCCAGATCGGGCGAGATCGGCCGAGATCGGCCGAGATCGCCCCGAGATCAGCCTCGAGAGATTTAGCGGCGGAGTCGCTCCTCGACGTCGAGGGCGCGCCGCCGCCCCTCGAAGTCCGCTTCCTCGGCGCGCAGCGTCAGCCGCCGCACCTCGATCGACGCCTCTTGCGGCGCCTCTTGGGACGTGTCCGCGCCGCGGCGGCCGCCGGGGACAACGCCGGAGGCATCGCCGTGGCCCTCCGCCTCCTCCGCCTTGCCACCCCCACCGCCCTCGCCTTCCACCGCCTCCGCCCCTGCCTCCGCCTCCGCCTCGGCCTCCGCCTCTTCCTCCGCCCTTGCCTCCGCCTCCTCCTCCCCGGCCGTCGGCTGCTGCGCGGCGCCGAGCTGGGCGCGGAAGAGGCGGAGGGAGCGCTGTGTGGTCTCGAGCTCCTCCTCCTGCGTCTCGAGGTCGCCCTTTGCGCGCCGCGCCTGGCTCGAGTGACTTGCGCGCGCCGCGGTGGCCTCCGAGTGGGCCGACAGCGCCGCCTCGTGCGCCGCCTTGAGCCGGTTGGGTCCGGGATGTCGCCGAGATGCCGCCGAGATGTCGCCGAGATGCCGCCGAGATGCCGCCGCGATCTCGCCGCGATCTCGCCGCGATCTCGCCGCGATCTCGCCGCGATCTCGCCTTGAGGAGGTCGAGGTCTGCGCCGATGGTCTTGAGCTGCTCGCTCAGCGCCGACACCTGAGCGGCACACTGACGCGCTTCAGCCTCCTGGTGGGATCCCGAGCTCCGCCTCCTCCTCTGTCACTACTCCACTCTGTCACTACTCCTCTGTCACTGCTCCTCTGTGCGGAAGCCTTGCGCAACTTGCGCCTATCTACTCTGTCACTGCCCTCTGTCACTACCCCTCTGTCACTGCTCCTCTGTCACTGCTCCTCTCTCACTGCTCCTCTCTCACTGCTCCTCTGTGCGGCAGCCTTGCGTCTACCCCTACTGCCCCTCTGTCACTGCTCCTCTGTGCGGACACCTTGCGCCCGCCCGCGGCGTGGCCGTCCGCCGCCGCCGCACACCGGCGCTCGAGCGCCTTGGCCTGCGCATCGGCACTCTTGAGCGCCTCCGCGAGCGTCGTGCGCTTCGCCGCTGCGAGGCGGCAGCTGCGGTCGGCAGCCGTCAGGGCGCGCTCTGCGGCGAGAGACTGGCTCCGCCTATGGACTCGAGATTACTGGAGATCACTCGAGAGTACTGGAGAGTACTGGAGAGACTGGCTCCGCCTATGGACGACAGCAGCTAGCCCCCCCCCTTCCCCCCTTCCTGGCCCCCCCCCCCCGCGCCCCCCTGCCCCCCCCCCCCTGCCTCCCCTCCCTGACACCACAAGCGACTCGCCGCGCGCACCAGCGCCGTGCCCGCCGCAGGATCTCGTGCAGCATGCCGGCCCGCTCGGCCGCACACGCGACCAGGCCGACCAGCGCCTGCAGGAAGGGGCAGAGAGACGGCTCCATCGACGGTTCCGAGACGGTTCCGAGAAGGCACCTGGCCGTCCAGCGCCTCCTCGGCACGACGGCTCCCCTCCTCGCCTCCGCCAACCTCGCGGCTCGCCCGAGACGCCTCATCGCCCCGTGCTGCGCTGACCGTCGCCTGCTCCGCCTCCGCCGAAGCGACGAGCGCCCTCGCCGCCGCCGCCGACTCACGGCACCCGCCGAGCACCGCACTCGCCTCGGAGAGCGCGCTGGCGCAAGCCGCTGTCCGGCTCACCGCCGCCGCCGCCGCCGCCGTCGCCGTCGCCATCGCCGCGGCCGCCTGCGGACATGTCTCGGACATGTCCTGGACGTGTGTGTCCGCCGCCGCGGCCGCCGCCGCGCAGCCGCGCCTTTGCGTGCTCTGCGGAGCGCGCCTCGAGCTGCTGCCGTAGCGAGGCGAGCGCGCCCTCCGCGCCTTCCTCACACGCGGCAGTAGTGAGCAGACGCCGCCGCTCACAGCACACACACACACACACACACACACCACACCACACCACACACCACACACCACACCACTTGCGTGCGCCTCTGGGAGAGGATCCTGTGGCTGCGGAAGCACCCGCCGAAGGGAGGCGCCTCTCCTTCATCTCCTTGAGCTCCGAGCCTACACGCACACGCCTCGGACGTGTCGCAGACTGTGTCGCCGACGCGCGCGACTCCGTCTCGTGCGGGCTCCGAGCCGAGCAGCGGGGCAATCTCGGGTCATCTCGGGTAATCTCGGGTAATCTCGGGTCATCTCGGGTCATCTCGGGTCATCTCGGGTCATCTCGGGTCATCTCGGGTCATCTCGGGTCATCTCGGGTCATCTCAGGTAATCTGAGCCAAGCAGCAGCGGCGACGACACCTCCCTGGCCGGCATGCGCGCCTACGAGTCGCGGAAGAAGGTTCGAGGAAGAGGCAACCTTCATGCCACAGCCCGACCCCGCTGTCCGGCTAGCGACACGAGAGGCGGCTGCACGTCCGCAGAGGGAGTGGGGGGGGCGGGAAGGAGCGCTCACGGACACAGAGTGAGAGGCTGAGAGATAGAGGCGCAGAGAGGGGGAAGCGGAGAGAGGCAGGCGGAGCGAGAGAGCAGTGTCTCAGCGCCCCAAAGCCCTTGGGCCCACACCTCCGCCCCGCTCGGCAGCCTGGCGTCGGCCACGGGTGTTTCTTCCTTTCAGTCGCTCACTACAACTAGAGCCGCGCGCCTCGCCGCTCGCCAGGAAGCACTCGCCGAGCGGAGTGACGACGCTGCCCGCCTTGCCGCGGGCGCCGTCCGGCGGCGGCGCCGAGGCGCGCAAAGCCACCTTGGAGCCGTGGGCACCCAGCACCATTCCACAGATCGGAACCCCTTCCCCCCCCCCCCCCCACTCGCCAAGAAGGCCAGGCAAGGCCAGACCGTCTTGTCTGGCGCGAGATTCCCCGAGACTCCCCGAGACTCCCCGAGATTCCCCGAGAGTGCCCGAGATTGCCCGAGATTCAGACCTTCTTGTCAGGCGCGAGCGACCAGCCGGCGAGTAGCCGGTGCGCAGCCTTGCGACCCACAGCAGGGAGGCGGTGAGGGCAGAAGGAGGAGGGGTTCGGCGGGCGGGCGCACTCGGCGGGTTCGCTGCCTTGGCTGTCTCGCGGCTCGAGGGCGTCACGCAGCGCAGCAGCGGCTCGCACCCTGCGAAATGGCGCGCGTGGTGCAGCGGCGCGTCAGCGGCGGGCGCGAGGACCCAGTGCCGACCCACTGTCGCCACAGCGCTAGGAAGGATCTCGCACCGGCGGGGGGGCGCGGCGGGGAGGCGGGCGGCTCGGGCAACTCCGACAGGACGAGGCACGAGACCACACCTACAGGGAGGTTCCAAGAACGGTCTAGGACAGGTCTAGGCAGCTCCGACAGGACGAGGCACGAGACCACACCTACAGGAAGGTTCCAAGAACGGTCTAGGACAGGTCTAGGCAGCTCCGACAGGACGAGGCACGAGACCACACCTACAGGAAGGCTCCAAGAACGGTCTAGGACAGGTCTAGGCAGCTCCGACAGGACGAGGCACGAGACCACACCTACAGGAAGGCTCCAAGAACGGTCTAGGACAGGTCTAGGCAGCTCCGACAGGACGAGGCACGAGACCACACCTACAGGAAGGCTCCAAGAACGGTCTAGGACAGGTCTAGGCAGCTCCGACAGGACGAGGCACGAGACCACACCTACAGGAAGGCTCCAAGAACGGTCTAGGACAGGTCTAGGCAGCTCCGACAGGACGAGGCACGAGACCACACCTACAGGAAGGCTCCAAGAACGGTCTAGGACAGGTCTAGGCAGCTCCGACAGGACGAGGCACGAGACCACACCTACAGGAAGGCTCCAAGAACGGTCTAGGACAGGTCTAGGCAGCTCCGACAGGACGAGGCACGAGACCACACCTACAGGAAGGCTCCAAGAACGGTCTAGGACAGGTCTAGGCAGCTCCGACAGGACGAGGCACGAGACCACACCTACAGGGAGGTTCCAAGAACGGTCTAGGACAGGTCTAGGCAGCTCCGACAGGACGAGGCACGAGACCACACCTACAGGAAGGTTCCAAGAACGGTCTAGGACAGGTCTAGGCAGCTCCGACAGGACGAGGCACGAGACCACACCTACAGGAAGGCTCCAAGAACGGTCTAGGACAGGTCTAGGCAGCTCCGACAGGACGAGGCACGAGACCACACCTACAGGAAGGTTCCAAGAACGGTCTAGGACAGGTCTAGGCAGCTCCGACAGGACGAGGCACGAGACCACACCGAGTCTCCGCTGCCGGATCTCCTCGAGGGCGGCCAACGCCTGCCAGCAGCGGCGCGCGACGAGACGCGGCGCCGCGTGGCGTGGTGGGTCGGTGGGCGGTGGTAGCGCGAGGCGCTGCTCGAGGCCGTCGAGGGGCGCGTGTCGTGTGCGGCGGGAGAGGGAGGCGGGAGGGGTCTCGGAGGTGCCTCGGAGGTGCCTCGGAGGTGGTGTCTCGGAGGTGTCTTGGGGGTGTCTTGGAAATGTCTCGAAGTGTTTCGGAGGTGTCTCGGAGGTGTCTCGGGTGCGTCTCGGAGGTGTCTCGGGTGTGTCTGTTGGAGGTGTCTCGGAGGTGTCTCGGAGGTGTCTCGGGTGCGTCTCGGAGGTGTCTCGGGTGTGTCTGTTGGAGGTGTCTCGGAGGTGTCTCGGAGGTGTCTCGGGTGCGTCTCGGAGGTGTCTCGGGTGTGTCTGTTGGAGGTGTCTCGGAGGTGTCTCGTGTGTGTGTCTGCGCCTCCCGCCGAGTCGGCACGACGAGCGTGCTTGAGATGCAACCTCCCAGCGCGGCGTGCACCGCGGTGCGGTGCTCCTCGGGGGCGCACAGGCACTCGCAGAGGAAGCGGCACTCGACGCCTGGGGAAAGGTTCAGCGGACAGTTCCGAGACACTTCCCACCTGAGTGCTACCTGTGGCCCGAGCGGCACACTCGACACCGCGTCCGCGCAGGCCGGAGACCGCGGCGATACGCGCGTCGCCTCGCGAGGTCGCCATCGACATGTCCGCCTCCGCCTCCGCCTGCCGCAGCTGGGCGCGGGCAGCATCGACGTCGCCCTCCGCGCGTGCTGCCCGCGCGGACGCCCGTGGCGCCTCCCTCCGGCACTGCGCCTGCAGGTGTCTCGGAGGTGTCTCGAAAGTGTCTCGGAGGTGTCTCGAAAGTGTCTCGGAGGTGTCTCGGAGGTGTCCAGAGCCCTCCGACACTGCGCCTCGTGCTCCACGGCGGCGGCTGACTGGAGAGACGCGGCCTGCGGGGCCAGGTAGGGGCCAGGTAGGGGCCAGGTAAGTGTCAGGTGAGGGGCCAGGTGAGGGTAGGTCAGTGCCAAGTGAGGGTCAGGTGAGGGTCAGGTGAGGGTCAGGTCAGGGGAGCCTCTCCACAGTCCCACACGCGGTGGTGTGGGGCAAGGCACGGCGACCCTCTCGCGACTCCAGGCTCCACAGGGAGACCACTGCACACACCCGGCCAGGACAGAGCTCCACGGCATTCTTCGAAGTGCAAGGCCCGGTGCGCGTGGGTGAGCAGAGGTCTGTCTCCGCCCCCGCTCTCGCTCCCTCCCAGACACATCCCGCGCCTCCTCCGCCGCAGCCGCGTCCGACTCGGCGGCAAGCGCGGCCGCCAGCTGCTGCTGCAGCTGCTGCAGCCGCTGTGCGGGCGGCCCGCCGTCCTCGGCCCCTGGAGCCGAGCAGGCAGCCCCGCCGGGCAAGTCGCCTCGGGGCGGCGCCTCGTCTCGCCCGCCGAGCGCCTGCGTGAGGGCCGGCTATATGCCCATAGCCGCTATGCCATAGGGCCGGGCGCACTCCCTCACCGAAATCACGGCATTCGCGGTGAAGTGCAAGGCCCGGCGCGCGTGGGTGTGTGTGTGTGTGTGTGTGTGTGTGTGTGTGTGTGTGTGTGTGTGTGTGTGTGTGTGTGTGTGTGTGTGTGTGTGTGTGTGTGTGTGTGTGTGTGTGTGTGTGTGTGTGTGTGTGTGTGTGTGTGTGTGTGTGTGTGTGTGTGTGTGTGTGTGTGTGTGTGTGTGTGGTGTGGTGTGGTGTGGTGTGTGTGCGTGCCTCGGCGGCCGCCAGCTCGCGTTCGAGCGCCACGCGCTGCGCCACGAGGCCGCCGCTCTCCTCCTCCTCGCCGGCAGGAGACGCCTCGGCCAACTCCCGCTCGCGGGTGTCGCGCGCCTGCGGCAGAAAGGGGTGGTGAAAGGGTGTGTGGCGTGTGCGGCAGAAAGGGCGGTGTATCGTCACGTCGCGCACCTCCTCCTCGCGGGCGAGCGCCTGTGCGGCGGCGCGGCGCTCCGCGGTGGCCTTGGCGAGGGCCAGCTGCGAGGCGCGCTCCGTCGCGTCGAGCTCCGAGAGGGCGGCGCGAAGCCCCGCCGCGGCCTAAGGGGTACGGTGAGCTTCTCCACACACAAAGTGGTGGGGGGCAAGGGGGGGCGACCCTCGCATCTCCACGCCCGGACAGGCAGGAGCCCCACGGCATTCGGAGGGCGAGGGCCGGTGGCGTGGGTGAGCACACTATACTGGCTACCCCGCCGCCTTCTTCTTGCGCCGCGCGGCAGCGCCGAGCGACTTCTTGTCGAGAGCCTGAAGATCAGAGCGTAGGAATGCGTCCTCGTGCAGTGTCCGCAGCATCGCTTGAGTACTCGAAGGCTGCGAATTCAAGACGTGTGCACGGCAGAGAGAGAGAGAGAGAGAGAGAGAGAGAGAGAGAGAGAGAGAGAGAGAGAGAGAGAGAGAGAGAGAGAGAGCAGTAATCCGTGTCGTCTTGAGCACTGGTCGGTATCCAGCATCTGAGAGCACGATGGCCAACCGCGTCGCCCCCTCCTTGGCGGCGCCCACCTTGGCCTGCGCCTCTTCCGCACGACCCTCGCCCGCCGACACCGCCTCGGCCGCCGCCTCGGCCGCCTCGGCCGCCTCCTTCTCGCGCGCGCGCGACGCCTGCAGCGCGCCGCGCGCCGCCTCGAGCGCGGTGTGCAGCGCCGCCTTGGCCTGCTCGTGCCGTGCCGCGGCGCGGGAGAGGTGGTGGATCTCGAGGCGCAGGTGCGCACCCTTGGCCGCCTCGAGGCGGAGCCGGCACGCCTCGAGCTCCTCCGCCGCGTCGAGCGCCGGCGAGCGCCTCGTGCGCTCGGCGCAGGCGCGGCTGAGCGAGGCGCCGAGGGCGGCGAGGCTAGCGCGGAGCCTCCCGACCGTCGCTGCCTCGGCCTCGACGCCTCGACGTAGGTGGGCCGTCCGCGCAAAGTCCTCGATGAAGCAGAGCAGCTCGAGCGGCGTCTGCTGCGCGATGGACGCGCACGCGCTCTGCTGGACGACAAAGGTGTCTGGCCGATCGACGTCGAGCTGGAGCTCGCGGAGCAGCAGAGCCTTGAGCTCGGATCGGCGCGCCACGCGCACCTCGCACTGGTCGCAGGGCCATGGAAGCTGATCGTGCTCGACGCCCGACCCGAGGCCTCCGCATGAGCAGCCCTGCACCCGAAACTCGCTCCGCGCCGGACCGTCGGCGGGCGCGATGGCGCGCCTCTGCACGCAGAGCGCGCCGGCCCCGCTGCGTGCGCGGAAGACGCAGCTGACGGCACAAGCGACGCCGTCGTCGCGGCCCGTGCGGTTGACCAGAGCCTTGAGATTTTGCGCCCGCATCGAGCGGAGGTCGAGCCCAAGCGCAAAGCAGATGCCCTCCACGAGACAGCTCTTTCCTGCGCCGTTCGGGCCGACGATCGCGATGATGCCCCGCGAGTTGAACTCCGCCACCACACGGCCCGAGTAGGACTTGAAGTCGTCGAGGACGACGGCGTGGAGCGCGAGCCCGGCCGCGGAAGCGGCCAGCGCAGCGTCGGCGTCCTCGTCTCTCGGATCGACCATTTTGGCCAGACGCTGTGTTTCCTCGTAGGGATCCCTAGGGGGAAAATTTTCCTACCCCAGGAAGGTGTGGCCAAAAACAACCCGTGGGAACGCACTCCCGGCTCCCATGCGTGGCCCCCTCCCGACACCGGAGGTCTCCCCAACCGGGGCACGCCCCCGTGCACGCCTCCTCGATGAAAAGAGAAGTTTCTTGTCAGTTTTCTAAAATCTCTCTCACCGATGGCAAAAGAAATCGAACTCCGCACGGCTGACGCAAGCTGGATGGCTTGTCTGTTTTCCTTTTTTCTGGATGCCCCCCACCCCCCCTTAACGCGAATACAAAAGAATTTGCTCTCAAAGAACTAGGCACGGGACTGGCGCGCAGTGGCACCACACCAGTCACCACGATACGGCTCTACTCGGGCGCGGCCGCGCAGGACGAAAGAGCTGGAAGGAACCCCACGACGCAAATCATAATCTCCATCCGGACTGGAGGTGCACGTGACATGCACATGCACATGCGCATGCACGTCACATGTGACTCCCCCCCCCCTCCCCCCCTCCCTCCAACACAATGTGAATGCCGCGCACAACATCCCACGGATGCTCCATGTGCGAGCTAGCTCTACTAATCGTCCCGTGTTTGCAGGTCATCGCCGCGCCGCACGTTTTGCGCACGACATCGCGCAACCGATCAGACCTGCTGCTGCACCGACGACGCCTCGCCTCCAGAGACCTCGCGCGCCTCCGCAGAGCTGCGGCTGCTCATCTTGGCGAACACCCGGCTGAGTCCGCCAAGGCTGCGCATCGCGAGACTGGTGCTGCCCTCAACGACGCTGCCTGAAGCGAGGAGGCCCGCCCGCGACCGAGCGGGGGTCGCGCCTAGGCTCTTTGCCAGAAGGACGAGCGACACCTGCGGGCAGGGACCCGCCCCTCGTCACGAAACGCTCGATGCGGGGGAGAGCTCGCTGTGGGGGAGAGGGCGCGCGCCTTGCGGTGGTGGCCGGGGAAGCAGGATTTTGCCAGGTCCTTGTAGAGTCCGCCGGCGATGAGCTCCTGCGGCGTTGGGGGGGGAGAGGGTTGGGGGGGAGGAGGGGTGGCGGGACAGGCACCACGTTGAGACATTCGCTCCTGCGGCGTGACTTCGAAAAACCTCGAGAACTGGCAGCCGCCGAGCGCGGGGTCGTTCTCGTGCGCCATGACGATCTTCAGCTTGTCCTCCCGCGCCTGCTTGACCTGCTCGGCCAGCCGCTCGTCGCTGACGAAGCTGTCCTCGTTGAGGTAGAGCAGCAAGTGCGTCGCGCTGGCCGGCCGATCATCGGTGGTGCAGATCGTGAGACCGGCGGTCTCACGATCTGGGGCAAAGGCGGCGGCGATCTCATCGGCCAGCGCCAGCGACCCCGCGTTGGCTGGCGAGGCCCAGAGCGTGCACGGTTTGGAAAAGGCGAGCGACTGGCTCTCGAGCTCACCCGACACGCAGAGCGGAAGGGAGGTCCTGTCCAGAAAGTTGGGCGAGCAGAGGAGCACCGCCTAGGTTGGTTCAAGTGGGGTTGGCCGGGAGGTAGAGTGAGAGAACGGAGCTGGCTGTGGCCGGCGGCGCCTCGGCGATGATCTTGAGCGAGATGAGCTGAAACTCATCGATGCGATACCAAATCGTGAGCGGCCAGTCGTTGTCAAAGATGGCCGGCTGCAGGTCCTCGGGGCACTCGTCGCGCAGCGCCTGGAGCGTCCCGCCGCCCTTTTCAGGGTCCGCTTCTTGGACGAGGACGAGCGGCTTGTCCTTCTCGAGCGACGAGCGGACCTCTCGGAGGCAGTTCTGTGGCGCGGGCGAGGCGGCAGTTCTTGGGGGGGGTGCGGTAGAGGGGCGGGGTGGGAGGAAGAGGCGAGCCTTGGAGCGGAAGTAGCCCTGCGAGAGGAAGAAGAGGATGACCTGCGAGCTCTGGATGTACTCCTCCAGCGCCCCGATATCCTTGAGATCATCTACCTATGAGCACACCGCGGTGCGTCAGGGGGGCTCTTTGTGTAGCTTAAGCAGCGCTGATGAGCATGTGCGCGCGTCGAGAAAGACTTTGATGTCCGGCAGCAGCTGCTCGAGCTCACCCTTGATGACCTTGACGGCGTCTTGACCGGTCGACCTATTCGTTTGGGTGAGGGGCGGGGATCACGCCGGCTGTTTTCGCTCCCTCTCTCCCTCCATAGCTGTGACTCACCAGATGTGGCTGTTGAAGAGGTGCCACGTGAGGCCCCTCACGATGCTCAGCTCGGGGGGCTGCTTGGTCGAGACGAGTCGGATCGTGGGGACCTTGGCGACGCGACGGGCGGCGATGATGGCGCCGACAAGGAAGAAGGCGAGCACGACTGCAACGAGGATGATCATTGAGTCGACAATCACATTGAGGCTGCGGAAGCCGAGGACATCGGCGGGATCTGCTCCATGGTACCGCTTCTGGATGCCGAGGAAGATGGTGCTCCAGTTGGTGCCGAGGAAGAGGAGGAGGAGCACGAGGCTCGTGGCGACGGCGAGCACGTTGTCCTCGACCCGCTTGTACGGCCGCACGACGGCGAGCGCGACGGCGTAGCATGAGCAGATGAGCGTCGCCACCACGAGGCGAACAAAGGCGCGCTCCTCCGGTATTAGAAGCACGAAGCCAGTCAGCACGAGCTTGCGCGCCAGCTCGACCGCCTCCCACCAGTACCAGGTCTTCTCGTACTCCCGGTGGAGGAAGGCGGTGGCCCGCGTCAGAGCATTCGGCGTCTTGGCCTGCAGCGGCTTGTAGCAAGCGGCGAGGAGCGACGTGAAGAGGACCAGCGAGCCGGCGGGCCAGAGGACGATGAAGCCGGTGGCGAGGGCGGTGATGGGTCCGTGATCGTCGGAGCCGCACTTGACGCTCGCGTCCTGCCGCATGTAGGAGACCTGCTCTAGCTCCTCGCCGGGCGGAGAGATGGTGTAGGCCTATCAGCAGAAACTTACGAGGACTGAGGGGGGTGGGGTTGTGAGCAACGGCAGCCATCAGCTGTGAGAGGGCGCCTGGCACGACCAGGAGCGGAAGATGGAGGCGCTGATGGAGGGCACGAAGCAGAAGATGAGCACCAAACCGGCCGGCGTGAGGTCGAGGAGGCCGAGGGCCGCCTCCGCGTACCACGATCTCTCGCGCGGCGCCGGGGCGGCGCGCCAGCGGTAGAGCCGCAGGCTTATTCCCGCGATCATTAGCAGGGCGATGAGCGCGACGGGGGAGAGGGCGATGGCGAGGAGCCGCAGAGCGTAGCCGAGGCACTGCTCCGGCAGGAAAAAGCCAGACCAGTCGATGGAGATCACGTTGGCCAAGTTGTCCGTCCAGCCCGTGTACTTGTCCGGCAGCCGCGCGGAGTAGGTGGAGGAGAGGACGGTGCAGATCTGATAGAAGCCAAACAGGATCTTGAGCTTTGCCGTCATTCCGACCCCGACGTAGTACTTGACGGAGCGGTCTGCAAAGCGGAGGATAGAGCCGATGATGCGCTCCTTCCGCCACGGCATGTGGTAGGCCCACGCCGCCAAGCCGCACGCGACGCAGAGGCCGAGGACGAGGCCGGCGATGCGGCCAGCCGCCGCGCCGCGCGGAGCGCACTCCTTGCAGTTGACGCCATCGACGAGGTACTGGTTCTCTGCGGCGCAGAGCTGGCACTCGGGGCCTTTGAAGTCCGAAGCGCAGTATTCTGAGCCCGCCTCCACCGTCCTCCGGCCTCTCGCCACCGGCTCGCTGCCGGCGCACCGCGTCTTGCCGGCAATGGCATTGCCGCCAAAGAGGCGGCACTCTGTCAGCACCGCGGAGGAGGGGCTGGCGCGCCAGAAGCCGCGCGGGAGGACGAGGGAAGAAAGGGTGGTGTTGTCCGGACAGTCCGCGTTCGGCGGGCAAGGTTTGCAGTATTCGGTCGGGGATTTGAAGATGTCCCCTGGGTCGGCCGAGGTGTTCCGCAGGTAGAAGTCGTTCATGCAAAACGAGCAGGTGGTGCTGCCGCTGACCGAGCTGAGGGGGTGAGGACACGGGATGCATTCGCCCTGGCCAGGGTTTGCGGCGTACGTGCTTGCAGCACACTCGCTGCAGGAGTCGCTGCTGTCGCCAGAGGTAGTGCCGGGCTTACAGAGCTCGCACTGGGAGCGGCCAGGCGTGGCGGCAAAGCTGCCCTTTGTGCATGGCGTCTGCTCGGTGGAGCCCGTGGTGGCGAAGAAGCCCGCCATGGCTGCGGTGCACTGCGAAGCGTCCGAGAGGTCCGTCTTGTCCGAGTAGCTGCCGCCACCGCACGGCAGCGGCGCCGCCGCGCCCTTCGAACAGTAGTGGCCCGCCTCGCAGTCGCGGCAGGTTGTCGCGCCCGTGTCGTTCTGGTAGGTCCCGCCCGCGCACTTGTCGCACGCCTCCATCCGCTCGGCCGGCGCGATCGTGCCCGCCGCGCACTGCGTCGGAGGCGCGGCGCCGCCCGGGCACGACGAGCCCGCCGGGCAGTCGAAGCAGTCGGGGATGCCGTCACCGTCCGTGACGTTGGCGTATGTACCCGGCTCGCACGCCGCAGGCAGCTCGAGTGACGCGCCGACCGGGCAGAAGCTGCCAAGCCCGCACCGGACGCAGCCGGCAGCACCGATGGCGTTCTGGTAAGATCCCGCCTTGCACGGCTCGCACTCGGCGTTGCGCGAGCCGGATGCGAATGTGCCGGCGCGGCAAGCCATGGGAGTCGCGCTGCCAGTGGTGCAAGCGTGGCCCAAAGGGCAGTCCTCGCAGCCGCCCGCCGAGTCAAGATTCGTCTTGTTCGAGTAGCTGCCAGCCTCGCACGGCAGCGCCGCCGCCGCGCCAACAGCGCAGTAGCCGCCCGCCTCGCACGGCTTGCACGCCGTCTGCGCCTCCGCGTCCTGGTACGTGCCGCCGGCGCAGGGCGTGCACTCGCCCTGCCTGGTCTCGTTCGTGTACGACCCCTTGGCGCACGCCGTCTGCTCGGTGGAGCCGGTGGTGGCGAAGTGGCCCGGTGAGGCGTCGGTGCACTCGCTCGCGGCGGCGAGGTTGGTGGCGGTCGAGTAGCTGCCCGCAACGCACGGCAGCGGCGCCGACGCGCCCTTTGCGCAGTAGCTGCCCTCCACGCACGGAAGGCAGCCCGTCGCGTTCGACTCGCCCTGGTACGTACCGCCCGCACAGCTGGCGCACTCGGAGAGGCCGGCCGTGGCGGCGAAAGAGCCCGGCGAGCACTCGGAGGGCGGCGCCGCCCCGCCGCCGCACGACGCGCCGGCGGGGCAGTCGAGGCAGTCGGGGTCGCCGCTCTGGTCGGTCAGCTCGGCGTACGTGCCCGCCGCGCACTGCGCGTCCAGCTCGCGCGACGAACCCTGAGGGCAAAACCTGCCGGCAGCGCAGCGGACGCAGTCGGCGGCGGCGGGCTCGCTCTGGTAGTAGCCCTGGGCGCACAGCTCGCAGCGAGCGTTGCCGAGGCCGGAAGCGTTGCTGCCTGGCGAGCACGGCGTCGGTGCCACGCTGCCCGTGGTGCAGGCGTGGCCCTCGTCGCACAGCGTGCACTCTTCCGGTGCGGCGAGGTCGGTGGCGTTCGAGTACGACCCGGCGGGGCAGGGAAGTGGCACGCTCGTCCCCTCCGGGCAGACGTGGCCAGCATCGCAGGGCAGCGCCTCATAGGTCGCCTCTGTGGGGCATTGGGAGCCTGCGGGGCAGCGGCCGGCGCAGCTGCTGCTCGACTGCTCCTTTGGGTCGGCCGAGCCGAGGAGGCCGGCGGCGCAGGCAAAGGGGAAGTCCTCATCGACGGGCAGCAGCGGCAGCTGGTAGAGGTCATCGCCGAGGAGGGAGGGGTCGTCCTCCCAGTTGCAGGGCTGCACGAAGGTCGGGTTCTGGCAGTACCAAGGCGGCTGGTCGACTGCTGCGACGGCGAGGGCGCAATCTTCGCGGTGCTCGAGGCACGCCTTCTGCTTGGCCTGATAAGAAGGGTAAGGGCACGCCTTCCGGTACACCTCGCAGCGCGCGTTTGGCAGCCAGCGGCCGGCGGGGGCGGGGAGGGTGTAGGAGACCTCGCCAGCTAGAAGGAAGACGGAGCGGCCCTCTTGGGCCAAGCAGCCGCTGATGAGAGTGCCGTCACTCAGGGTGGTGCGCCCGCCCGCCGAGTAGAGGCCGCCGCCAGACTCTGTGGCGATGCAGCTGGAGATGGTTGAGCGGGCCAGGCTGGCTCTGGCTGAGCCCGACCCCACGTAAACTGCGCCGCCTCGCGTGGCATTGCAGCCGGAGATGGTGGAGTCGGTCACGATGAGGTCGGTGTGTGTCAGCGTAGCTCCGCCGTACTGTGCGGTTGCGAGGAGAGAGCGGGGTGAGGCAGCCGTGGCCCCTCTCTACCTCTCGCCCCGCTGCCGTGCGGCGCTGCAGGGAGGCTGCTAGCTCTACGCGGCGCACATTGCGAGCCGAGCAGCCCGACACGGTCGAGCCGATTATCGAGACCGCACCGCTTTGATACGCGTAGACGACGCCGCCGTTCTGCGGTTGCGAGGAGAGAGCGGGGTGAGGCAGCCGTGGCCCTTCTCCATCTCTCGCCCCGCTGCCGTGGCGGCGCTGCAGGGCGGGCGGCTAGCTCTACGCGGCGCACAGCGCCAGCCGAACAGCCCGACACGGTCGAGCCGATTAGCGAGACCGCACCGCTGTTCTCATACGTGAAGACGACGCCGCCGGACTGCGGTTGCGAGGAGAGAGCGGGGTGAGGCAGCCGTGGCCCTCTCCATCTCTCGCCCCGCTGCCGTGCGGCGCTGCAGGGCGGCTAGCTCTACGCGGCGCACATCGCCAGCCGAGCAGCTCGACACGGCCGAGTCGATCATCGAGACCGCACCGCTTTGATACGCGTAGACGACGCCGCCGTTCTGCGGTTGCGAGGAGAGAGCGGGGTGAGGCAGCCGTGGCCCTTCTCCATCTCTCGCCCCGCTGCCGTGGCGGCGCTGCAGGGCGGGCGGCTAGCTCTACGCGGCGCACAGCGCCAGCCGAACAGCCCGACACGGTCGAGCCGATTAGCGAGACCGCACCGCTGTTCTCATACGTGAGGACGACGCCGCCGGACTGCGGTTGCGAGGAGAGAGCGGGGTGAGGCAGCCGTGGCCCTCTCTACCTCTCGCACCGCTGCCGTGCGGCCTGGAGGGGTGCGGCTAGCTCTACGCGGCGCACCAAGCCAGCAGAGCAGCCCGACACGGTCGAGCCGGTTATCGAGACCGCACCGCCGGTAGACGCGGAGACGACGCCGCCGTTCTGCGGTTGCGAGGAGAGAGCGGGGTGAGGCAGCCGTGGCCCTCTCTATCTCTTGCCCCGCTGCTGTGGGGCGCTGCACGAGTGCGGCTAGCTCTACGCGGCGCACCTCGCCAGCCGAGCAGCCCGACACGTTCGAGCTGGTTATCGAGACCGCACCGCTGTCATACGCCCTGACGACGCCGCCGCCCTGCGGTTGCGAGGAGAAAGCGGGGGTGAGGCAGCCGTGGCCCCTCTTCACCTCTCGCCACCAGTGCAGCGCTGCAGGGGTGGAGGCTAGCTCTACGCGGCGCACAGAGCCAGCCGAGCAGTCCCTCACGACCGACTCGATGATCTCGACGTCGCCTGCGCCGTTTGCGTACACAACGCCGCCGCCCCACTCCCTCCCGTTGACGAGGGTCAGCCCCCGCAGGGTGAGGCTGCAGCCGCCCCGCAATTTAAAGAGCCTGGTCTCTCCCTTGCCGTCGAGCGTCGCGCCCTCGCCGCTGCTCGCGACGGTCACTTTGATGGTGGAGGTGCAGCTGATCTGGCTGCCCAGCTTGAACTGCGCACCGGGCGGCAGGTAGATGGAGACGTCGGCAGCAGTAATAGTAGCCTCCTCGATCAGGGAGCGGAGCTCGGTCTCGCTCGCCGCGGCGACATAGCCGGGGGAGAGCGGCGGCAGCGGCGGCGGCGGCGGCGGTGATGGCGGTGTTGGCGGTTGAGGCGGTGAAGGCGGTGAAAGCGGCGGCAGTGGGGGCGATGATGGCGATGGAGGCGGTGATGGCGGTGATGGCGGTGAAGGCGGTGGAGGCGGCGCTGGTGGCGGTGAAGGCGGCCGGGTCGCCCAGCAGATCTGACGGCAGAGGGAGGAGGGCATCAGAGAGGAGAAAGAAGGGGAGCGAGAGGGACCAAGGGCGCGCCTTCCAGCCAGACCTGACTACGTAGCCATCCGATCGCCACTTAATGACGCCGTCCTCCGCCACCGCGCCACTCGGCCCCGAGGTGCCGCAGTACGTTATGCCGTTGACGGTGAGATAGTCGAAGGGGCAGCCGTCGCCCGCCTCCACATCAAAGGCAACCGTCTCCAGCCCGACCAGCGGCACGCCGCTGATGGTGCACTTCTCGTTGTTGCCGTAGCTGTTCGGGTAGTTTGGCGACGCGGCGCACGAGCCGCCGTCGGTGAGCGAGCACGGGCCGGTGATGAAGTAGCCGCCAGGGAAACCCGGTGGCAGCCGCGGCGGTGGGCAATCGTACTCGCAATGCAGGGCCTGCGCCGTCGAGGGGCCCGCGCTGACGCCCGCGAGGCGGCGCAGCATGCGGCGCACTTTGGGGCGCCGACTGCCGATGCTGCCCTTGGAGGACTCTTCGGTGGCCGAGGTCAGGCGGTCCCACACGCGCTTCCAGTAGGCGTACATCACCGCATCGCAGTCGGACGGCACCGCCTCCTCGCCGTCGGCGACCACCCACGGCTTGGGGCACGAGTGCGTGATCCAGTGCACGGCAAAAGGCGCGCCGGCGCCGGCGGCCTGCCAGTCGTTGGCCACGTCAGCGCGGCCGATGGCGAGCTTGGTGACGCCGCGCTCGGGCGTGGAGCCGTCGTAGTACGAGTTGAGGAGGGCCTGTTCGGTGCAGTCGATCACGTTGCCAAACTTGTTCTTGTGCTCCTTGCTGCCCTCAGCGAGCAGGTCCTGGTAGGTGGCCTCGGACGGCGACAGCATCATCACGCCCGCGTTGAAGTACGAGTGGAAGCGGGCGCGCTCGGCGGCGAAGCCCTTGACCTTGTCGAAGGCGTCGGAAGCATCGCCGGTGAGGATTGTGTCGGCGTCCAGGTAGAGGATGCGCTTGTACTTGAGCTGCTGCCACAGCCGCAGCTTGGTGGCCATGTGGCCCCACCGCTCGCCCTGGTCCTTGTCAAACCTGGAGCACTCCTCGGACTTTCCAAACCAAAAGGCAACCTCGTCGACGACGGCGACGGTCCAGCCGGCAACGGTGAGGGCGGAGCGCCACTCTTCGGGCACCGACGACGTGACGAGGCACACCATGTCGCGCGCTGAATCGAAGGAGCGGATCGAGGAGCCGAGCACCATGGCGCCGCGGAAGTAGTCGCTGTTGTCCGTCGTCAGGAGGGTGGCGTAGGCCTGCGACTTGCGGAGCGGGATGAAGAGCCACGGCGAAGCGGGGCGGCTCACGACCTCGCCGCGCGAGATGGAGTCGGAGAGGGCTGGCGCGGCCGCGCCCAGCACCTGCGCGGCGGCGGCGGGGGGGGGGTCTCGGAAGGGGCTCGCGAGATGAAGTCGGCCGGCGCGGCGCCGCACCTTCCGCTCCGAGGCGAGGTAGGTGACCGACGTCTTGGGCGACGGGCGCAGGAGCGCGTTGATGCGCTCCTCGGTGGGCATGGTGAGCCGCTCGACACCGAGGGCGGAGAGGTCCGCGTGCAGTCTTGTCAGCGCGGCGTATGGTCGCGCCATGAGCTCCTCGTGGTGGACCACGGCGGTGGGCACGATGGCGCAGGCGCGCGCAACGCCGCCGTAGTACGCCTCGTAGACCGCTGCCCATTCTGCGTACGACACGTTGTGCGAGTAGATCATCATCGAGTTGGCGATGGAGAGGGGCTCGCGGTGCACGATGACGCAGGCGGGCGCGTCGAGCAGCTCGACCCACTCCGAGGCGACGAGGGACATGCGCGGGTCTTTTGTCACCCACGGTCGCTGGGCGTTGAGTTTTGCCACGACGCCCTTCGCCTCCGCCGTCGAGTGCACCTTGGTCGCCGGCTTGTCGGCATCGAAGCCGTACGCCACCCAGTCGGGCAGATTGTAGCGCGCCGCGGCCGCATCCACGCCCGCAGCCAGCCGCTCCTCATCGAGGCCGACCACATCGGCGCGCTCCCAGTATTTGAGCGGGTTCGATGGGTGCAGCAGCATGCCCTCGAGCGTGCCGCCGTTGGCGCCCAGCATCATGGTCAAGTTTGCGACGATCGACGTGCCCGCGTGGTGCATCCCGAGCACGAGGATCTGCGACGGAGGTAAAGGCGGCATTCTGCGGTGGGGTGTCTTGTCCGGAGGGTAGGGAGGCGGCGAGGGCGGCGGCGACGGCGGCGGCTCCGACGGAGGAGAGATTGGTGGCGCGGCCGGTGGCGCCGCTGGTGTGCCGCATACGCCCTGCAGGAAGAAGAGGATCACAATGCCAACTCGGAGAGCACGCGTGCTGGAAAGCAAGGGCACGGAGATCGCTTCGTGGCTGCGGCCCTCCACCCTCTTCTTCTTGACCTGCCCACGCAACGGCGGCTCAAGGAACGCCGCGAGGAGCAGCGCCAGCACGGCCGCACAAGAGCGGAGAAAGAGCAGCGAGGCCACATCGATCTCTGGGAGGGGCGTGGCGGTCGTGAAGCTCTCCTCGAGTGAGGGGTCGCCGATCTTCGTCGCGCCGGAAGTCTCGTCAAATGGGGCGAGCTCGGCGTAGGCGCCGATATTGAGCTTCATGGAGGTAGGCGGGTAGGTCTTACCGATCCCGATCTCGACTTTGGAGTGGGCCGTGGCGGTCGTGCAGTCCGTCTCGTCCGTCGTGGAGCCCGGGACAGGCTTGTTCTGTGAGGGGGGGGGGGCGGGGGGGTTGGGGCGGAGGTGGGGACGGCGCGCAGCGGAGGCGCCGATGTGGGGCCGACGGTGTGGGAGCGGGGAGCGAGGGCGGGGCGAAGCGGGGCGAGAGAGGGCGGAGGGCGGCGCAGGGGAGGGCGGCGGAGCAGAGAGAGGCGGCTAGGGAGGTGGGGGGGGCGGCGGGGGAGGGCGGCCGGCAAGGAATGGTGTGTTGGGTGGGGAGGGGGAGAGGGGTGAGGGAGGTGGCGGCGGCGGAGGGGGCGGGGAAGGAGGTGGGGAGGGCGGCTGGGGGAGGGCGGGGGCGGGGGCGGGGACGGGGGCGGGGAGGGGAAGAGGGTGGTGGGAGGAGAGTGGGGGGCGGCGACGACGCCCGGGCGGAGATGGAGAGGCGGGGAGGGCGGCGGAGCATGCCCCCGTGAGAGAGGCCAGACGGTGTGGGAGAGAGCAGAGAGTAGCACACCTTTGTGCCCGTCTCGTCGGCCTCGCTCTTGGAGTGGGCCGTGGCGGTCTTGAGGCTCGTCTCGCTGCTCGTGGAGCCCGAGGCCTTGATCGGATCCTCGGAGACGCAGAGCTCGGTGAGGGGCGGCGGCGGCTCCGCGCACCACACAGGGGCGGCGCCGCCGCCGCACGTGACACCGACGGAGTTGGCGGTGGAGTCGGCGAGCGAGACGTCGCCATTCTTGACCGCGCCGGCAGCCTCGCCAAAGGAGGCGAGCTCGGCGTCGGCCGCGGCGCCGATGGGCTTGACGGTGGTCGGGGCGGCGGCGCGTGAGGCGGCGTCACTGAACTTGGAGAGGTTGAACGGGAAGGAGAAGGTTGGATGGAAGGTGGCGACGACCGGCCAGGCACCTAACAGCGCCCACCCACCCCCGAGGACGTCTTGGTGGAGCAGGAGCTCCGCGGCCTTGTTGGGTTTGCGCGAGACAGACGCCGCGAGGGCGAGCGACGGCGCGTCGGTCTCGAGCTTGATGCTGAAGTCGGTGCGGTTGCGCGTGTCGATGAGTGCCCCCCCGCGCCGCGGACGGGGGCGAGAGGCGGCGGTTGAGGGCGTCGCGAGAAGAGCGAGGGCGAGCATGGCGGCGTGCAGCAGATGTAGGCGGAAGGCAGATGCACGAAATTGAGATCGCAGAAAAAAACACCGTTGGTTGTTGAGGGCGGCTCGCAGACAGTGAGGCCGGGGTCGCACACGGCAGGGGTGGCGGGACGGTTGTGGAGCGAAGTGGCAGTAGCCAGCCTCAAGCATCGATGGGATAATAAGATGAGATTACCAGACGAGAACGGGGGGAAGGACAGGCGGGCGACATTTGACGACGTCGGGGATCACAATGTGACGACCAAAACGATCTTGGGGGCCAGGGTGAGACAACAGGTCGGGGTGCCACACGGGGCACACCACAGGCGTATTCTAGAGGGGGAAAAGAAACGGGGAATGAGGGGCCCCGCCACGAGAAGTGCGTTCTGGGGATGCAGAGCGTGCAAAGCGGCTAGGGATGAGGTCGCAAAAGAGGCGCGCGAGGCAAGGAGGAGACGCGGGGAACTGAAAGACTGGGACGACTGGAAACAAGAAGACAGTGAGCCACCACAGGCGTCGTTGGCGCACATACTGAGCGGCAGCTGCGCTGGAAATAAGGAAGAGGCGCGTCACTTCATGCGGAAGCTCGACAAACACACAGCGAGGGCGACAGCAAGAGTTGAACAGGAGGCGCCGGACTCAAAAGACACCGCCACATTCCTGAGACGAGCGAGGGCAGCCTCCTTAAAGGCGAAAGGGTCTAGATTTGGGGCGCTCGCCGAAGAGGAGTACGACAAAATAGCACCCGTGATTGCCTGCACGCTACCCGCACTCACGGACTCCATACCCGAAAGAAAGAGAAGGGAGCTCGCGGGAGAGGTGACGAGTGAACTACAGGTAGTGGGGAAGGCAGCCTCGATTGCCATACAGACATGGGTGCGAAACAACGACAAGACCAAGGCACGGGCAGAGGAACGAGAGAAGAATATAGGGTGGAGTAAGAGCAGGCGCACATCGCTTCCAGGGGGGGGGGCGCACTTCTGCTCACACCACATGCTAGGGGGGGGGTCCGACCCCCCCCAGAGGCTTCACCACATGCTAGGGGGGGGGTCCCGACCCCCCCAGCGCCTCCACCACATGCTGGGGGGGGGGGGTCATGGCCGAGGACCCCCCCCAGAGACTCGTGGTCAGGCCCTCCGGGCCCTTGATTTTACACCTCATTTCGCAGCATTTTCGAGGGGAAAATCATCCTTGGAGCTACATGAGCCTTGAGCCAGGTCAGATTCTCCAAGATA